CGTTAAATCTCGAACACGCGTGCCACCTTCATATTTCTCAACAATCTCTTTTTTCAGTTCCGTTGTGATTCTAGTCATTTTTTTTATTTTTCTGTTGCCCTTTTGCAATTCATGATTAATAAAAATAATAAAATGTTACTTACAAATTAAAATCAGAAGAAATTTAACAAAGTTATAAACCGTAGCACCATGAACGTCTAGTCTAGTGTAGTACACCGATAGTGCTACTTGTTCATAGATGGCACGTATAATTGAATTAACTCGTATACCGAACAAAAGTCGTATACCGAGCAAAATTTGTTTAGTCCAAACAGGACGTATTCCGAATTGGACGTATTCTAAAGCAGACGTATACTGAGGTTCCACTGTATAATTCAAAAATATTAATAAGTTTTACTTCAAAAATTTAAAAAATAGTTATAAAAATCTGTTAAACTGATTAGAAAATAGTATGATTATTGAAAATAAATTACAGTCAATCCCCCTATAACACTGTTCATTTTTCCGTTTTATATGAATTCCATGTTGTACAAGTCACTTAGATTTTACAAATACGTGAGCTGTTCACAGCCCGGCATACGTATTTGTGAAATCTAAGTGACTCATACATGGAATTTGTATAAAACGGAAAAATCAACAGTGTTATAGGGGGAGTCAACTGTATTAATTATATGTAGTCATCCATAAATCAAAGTTTTGTTATATTGTCTTTCGATCTAGCATCAAAAAATGAACTGAATTGATAGATTATGATAGACAATGCAACACTTCAATAGGTCAAGAGGGTGTTCCCAGGAAGACTTTCTATAGAAAACTGGAAGCTATTTAGGTGTTGGACATATGAAGATGTATCTGGCCATATGGAATTTTCCAGGATAAGCCCACAATCAACTTATTGAAAAATTTATTATTGTTATTGCAACTAAAATATTAGAACTTAGATGCAATTTTTCAAATTTTAATCAATAAATTAAGCTTAATTGCATTTAAAGTCTTGTTTATTTTGAATTCTATCAAAATTACACTTTCAATGAAAATCTAAAACATTACATGAAATTCTTCTTGTTAAATAATATGAATTCAAATTCTTACAAGTTAAAACTGAAAATATTAAATTAACAAATCCACCACTCTGCTCCTAAAAATACTAATCTATGCATCTGCATTTATATTGTGCCAGTTCTTTTAATGTCCATTAATAAGCACGAATGAATGGCTGAATAAAGGTACACTCTTTCTCATCAAGGGTGTGGTCAATGACTGGACGATAAGTAAGTGCTACTTTTCCAGATGAATCAACATAACTTAACGTGTGTTTTCTCCAATGTTCTTCCAAACTTTTCTTTTTCTGATTTTCTAAAGGCTTAGAATAATCAAATTCGTCTACTCTAGATTTAAAATCTTCTCGTGCATGTGCTCCTCTACTTTCCTTTCTTGCTTCTGCAGCATTTACTGTTTGGATGGCATTTAGAAGAAGATTTTGTAATTCCAGTGCCTCAATCAGATCGGTATTCCATACCATTCCTCTATCACATAATTTTAAATCTTTTTGTTCAGAAAATATTTCATTCATTTTTTTACAACCTTCTTGCAAACTTTCTCCTGTTCTAAAAACAGCAGCATGCATCTGCATTGTCTTTTGCATTTTGAGGCGAAGTTGCGATGTCAAAATTGACCCATTTGCATTTCTAATCGTATCTAAGTTTGCAATGGATTCTTCTCCAGAATTTGGCTTCAATTCAGGAATGGATTCTCCCGGTTTGTTTAATTCAGAAATAGTATGGGCACAAGCACGACCAAATACAACTAAATCTAATAACGAGTTTGCACCAAGACGATTAGCACCATGAACAGATGCACATGCAGTTTCTCCACATGCATACAGTCCTTCAACTACAACATCTCCTTTATCTGGTTTATGAATAAGAACTTGACCTTTATAATTAGTAGGAATACCTCCCATATTGTAATGAACAGTAGGTAAAACAGGAATAGGATCAACAGTCACATCTACACCTGCAAAAATCATGGCAGTTTCAGATATTCCTGGCAATCTGACAGCTATCTGTTCAGGTGGTAAGTGATTTAATTGTAAAAATACATGATCTTTTTCAGGTCCCACTCCTCTTCCTTCTCTTATTTCAATAGTCATAGCTCTGGAAACAACATCTCGAGAAGCCAAATCTTTAGCTACCGGAGCATATCTCTCCATAAAGCGCTCGCCTTCACTATTAATCAGAAAACCTCCCTCTCCTCTCGCTCCTTCGGTAATAAGGCATCCTACTCCATAAATACCCGTAGGGTGAAACTGTACGAATTCCAGATCTTGGTTGGGCAAGCCCGCCCTAGTTACCATGGCAGTACCGTCTCCGGTCGAAGTATGGGCAGATGTACACGAAAAATAGGCGCGGCCATAACCCCCTGTGGCTATGATAGTGTTTTTGGCTCTGAATCTATGCAACGTACCATCCTCCAAGCAGAGTGCTATTATGCCATTGCATCTTCCTTGATCCATCAACAGATCCAGGGCAAAATACTCAATAAAATAATTACAGTCGTAACGTAAAGATTGTCCGTAAAGCGTGTGCAGCAAAGAATGTCCCGTACGATCAGCTACACAACAACAACGATGAGCCTGGCCTCCTTTACCATAATTGTAAGACTGGCCGCCAAAAGCTCTTTGATATATTTTACCATCTTTAGTCCGGCTGAAAGGCATCCCATAATTCTCCAACTCTATGACCGCGTGAGGCGCTTCCCTAGTCATGTAATGTATAGCATCGTGATCTCCGAGCCAATCCGATCCTTTAACGGTATCGAACATATGCCATTTCCAGTCATCCGGTTCCATATTTCCGAGGGCGGCATTGATACCTCCTTGAGCAGCAACGGTGTGCGATCTAGTGGGAAATAATTTAGAAACGCAAGCAACTCTGAAACCTTTCTGCACCAATCCGAAAGCCGCTCTCAAACCGGCTCCGCCGGCTCCGACCACTACTACATCGAAAGTATGGTCTGTGACAGGGTAGCGCTGGCTCAGAGACGCTTTGCTCACTCCGGTCGCGCTTCGTCGACCTTCCACAGAAAAGTGAAATCCTCGTCGACGGGCAAAGCCATGACGGAATAATTTGCAATCGAAAATATTAAATTCCTTCAGAATAACCCTCAACACAGACGCCATCTTAGGTGTGACGTCAACAGGAACAAGTCTCGCACCCAGTGTATTATAGAACGGAACGAATAAATACATTTCGAAATATAATAACAAACACTTACCCTTTTCGTTCCGATAAGTTTATTTATCAGATTCATTCTTGTTACTGAATCGATGCAAATTTACTACTAAATTTAAAATTTGCGTATTAGACGTCTTAACCACGTGCAATATGACGATCGTTAAGACGATCGGCAGGGGGGCGTTGTCGTCGAAATGAAGAAAATACTTTGCATTGTTTGTAATAAATTTTGATTAAAATAAATCAAAAAGATTATAATTCTTCATCTTCCGAATTTAATATCAACTTCCAAATATTAACACAAATTAGGAGTATTTCGAAATGAATTGATTCAAAATAAATTAAAAAGTAAAAAATAATTACAATAATTTTATCAGAAATAGTTTCGACAAGATAAAAACCGTTAGATAATAGCCAAAATAATTATGTCTATTTAAAAAACTATTAATTATAACTTTTTTATTTGTTCGAGTTGTTAATACTTTTCACAAAAGTGCATTCTTGTTTTTTTTCCAGAATAATTAATGATTTTATGAAGACTCCCGCTATAACTTTCGTTAGCTTCAATTTCATTTGGCGTAAGCTACAGCTTAGTAGTTCTTTTTTCATATTTAACTCTTCCGCCCTGTGGCACTTACGGCCTTTTATCCATACCCGTTGTAAATTCAGCCAGACCCAAAATGGCGGGTGGTGAAGGTCGATGCCCGAAATATCCGGGACAGACGGATTACCCATGAAAAATTTCCTGGGTTGGTCGATATTCTAAATGATCCAAGTTAGAATCCGGGTTAAATTTTCTAAAATACATTTTTTAAGTTAACGGATACATCGAGATCTGGGTCTTTCTAATAAGCAAGGCAGTTATTTCTGAATTCAATATTTATATTGCCATCTTTTTTATTCCTTCCTTTTTTTATTCCATCTTTTTTTAAACGTCTTTTATTAATAAACAAAAAAGAATACTTTCACTTCAAAAATATTGTTACAAAATTACATAAAATTATAAAATTTATTCACCGTAATATCCCGGTTTCAGCTACAACGAATGGTGTTCTTTAGTATCCATCTTAATAGATGGCAAGATGATTGAGGCGATTAAAGCGCATCCTCTGAAGATCCGGTATTGAATCCAAGCGGTCGAAAACTTAGAATTTTATTATGGTGGTGGTTTTTATAGGCCCCGTCCCTCGCTACCCGGCATTGAAAAGGTCTTTTTAGTGCCCACAGGGCGGAAAGAGGGAAAATAGACCAGGGTTCAGACAGGCCATAGTGAAGACCAGGCTGAACACTGGCTGAGTTTGACCTCTTTTAGTATTTAAATAATCCCAGTATTACGAATTTCTTTGAAACGCCTTTGTGAAAAAGTCGAAAGTTACGTTCCAGCATGTTTTAATTTGTTTCAGTGGCATTTGAAAAACCAAACCATAGAGTTGATGATCTGAAATGGCAATGAAAAAAAATTGCGGTTTATTCTCACAAAACTTTTTAATTTAAGTTTTTATTGAAAACTGCACTCCCCGTAAGTCCGTCCCTGGCTACTACCAAATTTTCCAACATACTCTGTTGCACTTATACGCGTACAACTTACAATTACGTGATTAAAGCTGCATTTTTTTTGTCTTCTGGGATAACACTTTAAAGTTAACTCTCCATTACAAATCTCTTAAGTACAGTACAACGTAGAATGTTGGTAAAGCATGATAATGTGAAAAATGTATCTGTAATCTCTATGTACAATTTAGTCTCTACGGGGTGACACCACAATGAGATCTCGCACCAGCTCAAAATCTTCCTAAGGCAGCCTCTGGTTCGCCCCGTGAAAAAAGTCTTCTTTTCAATTCGGCCCAGGGGCAAAAGCCCCTGAGTTAAGGTATTACGAACAATTTACACCATTTTTTTCCAGGTTTAGAATTAAGATTTTTTATTCTTACTTTTAATCGTTTGCTTTTTAATATCATCCCCTGACGGCCGAATGGCCAAGCGATCAAGGTGATAACATACCACTCTGGGAATTTTTCGGGGGTGGTCCGTCCGGATATGTCGGGCTCCGTCCATCACCACCCAGCTGCCCTATTGTACGCCTGACATTGTAGGGCTTGCTAAAAGAGGCCCTCTCAGTGCCCATAGGGAGGAAAGAGTAAAACAATATCATCCCAAACTGTTTACTTGAACAAAGAGTTAATATTCACAGATTCATGAATAATTAACTTTAATTTTTTTTATTTTATTTTTGTAAACATTGTCAAAATGGCGGCAGTTAACTTGTAGCAAGAAAACTTTTAATTAATTATGTATAGTCTTTTAGACTATATATAATTAATTAAAACATACATATAAACCAGCGTCATCTCTCCTCCATTCATTTAACGTCATCTTTCCAAAATAGAAAGGAGAGATGACGCACTGTCTTTTATGTACAAACATGAAGGAACAATACAAAATTTACTAAACAATATGGCTACGATCTTAACTTCGAATGCCATCAACAATTTTATTATTATTATTATTTGTTTTATAAATACTCTTATCTATACTAATATTATAAAGAGGTAATGTTTGTATGTATGTAAGTAAGTAAGTTTGGATATAGCGGGTAATCTCCGAAACTACTCATTCGATTTCAAAAATTATTTCACCAATATTTAGAACGGAACTTCAGGGTGGTCATAGGCTGTACATTATTCCGTTAAACATTCATATAAATTAAAAGATATCATCTAGGGTTAAGGCTTTTATGTCCAACAGATGGCGCTACGAGTACGACGCCCTAAGTTTGCTTTTCTGTGAGGCATTATGCTTTTCTGTGAAAATGAACTAAAGCAGATCATCTTCTATCTATCTATATAAATAAAAATGTAATGTTCGTTTGTTCCTACCGATTCCTTTGAAATTTTGACAACGCTGCATTCGAATACGCACGTGTTTTTATATAATATACCTGTCGAAATTCCCCCCACTGAAGGGAGATGGTTAGGGTTAAGGCTTACCGTAAAGAACTGCTTCTATTTATACTATTTTAGATGCGGTTTTTGCGTTTTTGATTGCATTTTAATAGGGTACGTCAACAGAATGTACACTAAGAAGGGATTTTTCGATATTCCCCCCACGGGGGAGAGGGACAGAATTAAGGCTTATTGTGAAAAACTTGGCTTCTATTATATTATTTTACATGCGGGTTTTTCGTTTTTGATTGCGTTTTAATAGGGTACGTCAAGAGAATGTACACTAAGAAGAAATTTTTCGAAAAATTTCCCCCCTCCACGGGGGATGTGTTTTACATATATAACAGATACATTTTGAGCCACAACAACGCGTGGCGGGTCTACTAGTTAAAAATATTACTCATAAACATTCAAAGGTTAGCTGTCAAAGTAGCCTAATTCATTTCTAAAATGCACGAAACAGTACATATTTCGGAACCAATTTAAGTTAATATTTCGGAACCAATTTTCGCTGTTTATTGTCTACTAATAGTAGTAGTGCGACCTGCTTCAAGACTTGGAAAGAATAAAATCACATATACTCTCCTAGTCCTTGTCATATTCTATGGCTTTACTATATTAACTTAAAATATAATATTTTTATTTTAACGCTGCAGCTTTATTTTTAAATATTTTTTCGAAAAACAAAACATTTAAAGCGTAGAAATATGTAGTTTTTGATTATACTCATATTTATTATATACTGTACTTATTAAAATTATTTAAGCCGTACTATATCCAACTGTTTACTGTTTGAAATAATGTCTCCATCATCACATAACCGGATAATGCCAAATATCGGCAAGTAAACTCCCATTTGTTACAACGCGGAAAAAACGAAGGGAACAAAAGTTCGAACATTTCTCGAATAATAAAATTGAATCGAATTTGAAGTTTTCGAATATTCGCACAGGATTTTTAAAACTTTCCACTCTGTGGACACTAAGAGTATTTTTTTTTTTTAGCAAGCCCGTTATGGGTTCGGCAAGCTCAAAATGAGGCGCCCGAGTTGCGAGGGACGGGGCTCAATGTATCCGAATAGACCATAAGAAAACCTTCCAGTTCTTCGACCTTTCAGGATGCGATCCCGGGTTTCCCAGAGCAATAGGCTACCACCTTAACCGCTCGGACATTCTCCGTCAACTCAACCATGATGGGCTTGATTAAAAGGCCACAGGGCAAGGAACTAACAAAACCCACAAGGTAGAGAGAATTTTTAAAAAATGAATCTTCATTTAATAAATGCAATTCATGACAACCGTTATATTGATGCATATTTTTGTGATAGTCACTTTTAACAATGGCAAGAAATTTCCAGGCCAACATTAGCTAAGCTAAATTTATTCCTTATCTTACAAACGGCAAACACGCCTATAATTTGAAATTTTGTATAAAAATGACGACCACCTCTTTTTAATAGTAAAATTATATTTTACGCAAATCCAATTACGTAAATTATTATTATAAAAATTACTTCCGTTACTTTGCATTTGAAATTATTTATTTTTATATTAATCACTTATTTGTATTTTGCAATATTCGTGAAATTGTTAAAAGCAATTACATTCAATGTAACATGTTCAAAACTAGTAATTTGTTAATATTAGACTACAATCGACCCCCCCATAACACGGTAGATACATTCCGGCTTTTATGAATCCATTTTCTACGAGTCCAGCCAATCACAGCCCAGAAGGTATGCAGTTTACGGACTACGGCTGTTTGAAAGATTTTCTTCCATAAAATTAAGATTCTAGACTAATTCGACTCAACATTTCCAAAATACGTATACATTTTTGGGAATAATCCATATAAACTATGCTATAAATAAAAAATTGTAGGACTACTTACCGAGTGTGCACCGTTCGACTACGTCATTTCTTAAGCTTGTTTTCGTCGTGGAGCTTGTCGTCAAATGCCGCTCGCGTGCTTCCTGATAAATTATTTTTTTGGCGAAAAATTCGCTGAACTTTGGAGACATCATTAATATAAATATTTTTATGGACATTAAATAATAAATGGTTTTTAGTAGGTCCGCTGCTCGTTTAAAGTCAACGGTTTGTACAATATCCGCTATTGGTCTAGATTCTACCAATCCCATTACGACACGAGTCGGCAATGACGTTTTACCGAATTATAGGAGTTTTTTTAGCATGTTTGTACGAATACTGTCGCAATTTTTTCGCCGTGATATAGGAATCCAAACTATAGGAACCCGTGTTATAGGGGGTCGACTAATTTAACTTAAAAATCCGAGTCTATGCACTGTTAAATTACTTATACTTTTATAATTTCGATTTTCCGTCACTATAAACTGAAACCAAACTAAATTTTCAAAATTTCAGTTCTCTTTTATATTTTGAAGCAAAATCTTCAAGATTCGGTTTGATAGCAACACCTCCCAGGACTTTCTACGGGAAACTGGATTCTAAGTGTTAAGACATGCCAATAAAACCACGTGGCTAGCAAGCAGGTTGGGAAGCGCGAACCCGTGACCGAGTTCGGTAATTTTAGCCACTCTGCCATTGGAAATACAAAACTTTTAAGGAACCAACAGTAATATCCAAATTCTGTATTTTATTAATTTAAACCAGTGATTCTCAAACTTTTTCGATCCACCGCCCCCTTTGTTCCATAAAGTTATACCCAACGCAACCTAACCCATTTTCTCTTGTGTGAGAAAAGGATTGGAAATATTCTTAGGAAAACTTTTCTATGAATCTCACACTTTGTGCCCTTACTGTACATTGTTCTCATCATCTGGAAACCATTAAACGCAATGTTTCCTCTTATCAGCCCCAATTTTGCCTTTGGTCACCGTTCAATACCCTGCCTCTATCATAGATCTATTCATCGCGCCAGAAGGGGGCGTTATTGCTTACTTTGAGAAACGCTGAGCTAAAATAAAAGTCAATGTGTTAGAAATATTCAAGTTGTGACCTTCAATAAAAAATAAAAAATATATAAAATGTCAACATTTTATATATATTCCGTCGAATTTTTATATATAGAATTTGTCTGCCGTCGCCCCTCTATATTTCCTTAACGCCCCCCAATTCTCTTTGAGCCTTCTACTGCCCCCTGAAAGCCTCCAGCGCCCACAAGGGGGCGTTATCGCCCACTTTGAGAAACGCTGATTTAAACATTATCATGAAAAAAAAAACACATGTATTTATTTCATTTCTCTCTTTCCGCCCTGGGTGCAGAAGGGACCTTTTCCAGGTCCATCACGGTTTGGCCAAGGTCACAATGGGGTGGCCTGGTGTTGAGGGATGGACTCCGACCGACCAATTTAATTACATTTTATTCCTAAAAAACAATTTTATTAGATATTTATATGACCAAAAAATGGCATTTGAAGAAATATAACTTTTTTTAATCAAAGCTTTTAATCTAACTCTAAATTTGAATTTCTAAAGCTAATTATTCAACGGCATAAATTTATCTAAATATATAAAATTACTTGTCTTGACTGACTGACTCATCATCGCGCAGAGCAAACCGCTGAACCTAGAGGTGAAATTTGATACAGTTAGGGTACGTCATGAAAACGCACACTAAGAAAGGATTTTTCGAAATTCCCCCGCAGGAGAGAGGGAGAGAATTAAGGCATAACCGGAAGAATGGCTTCTACTGTACTATTTTAGATGCGATGTTTTGTTTTCAACTAGTTTTGTCTTCATTGAGTACTTAGGTGTATTAAAGTGATAAAAATATTTATAACAATGTCTGAAATGTTATCTATTTCGATTTTAAAAATGTTCGAACCGTTTTAAATTCGAATTTGTTATTGCATATTGGTTGGATTATAGAACGATTGTAAACGTTCCAGAAAATTGATCAAATTGAAAATAGTTCGATTGATTCTCGGCAATTCTCATCATTCTCAGCAATTGGTGTTATATAACAATTACTATGGTCGTTGAAATACAGAAATGGGGTTTGCTTGCAAAATCCTCGCGGGCAAAGCCGCGGGTAACAGCTAGTAGTTATATATTTTTTTAAATAAATATCTAACATTTTATTATTTTAATCAATCGATTTTGATTTTTTAAAGTTAATTGGAATTGATATGAATACTTAATTCATTTAATAAGTGCATTAAATACATGATTATATAGTTAATGTTAGAACGGATCTCAAAATAGACCACTTAGTTATGTAATTAGAGATAATTTAATAAGAATTTTTGCATTCTTGATGATAAGATAGGATTATGTTTCTGTTATTTATTTATTTATTTATTTTTTCGTTAAATATTTTATATCCGTCATCTACGCTTTAGCATCAACTTTCCATATTTTTAGAGTTACTCACCGATTATTACATTACAAACAATGTTACTTTACATGCCTTTCGATTGCGTAACTTTTTTGCAAAAGTAGTCAACCTTGAAATATCCTAATTGATCAAGCTGCAGCAGCTGTTTCTACTGTAATTTTAATCTTCTGTAAGGATTGTTATTATCCATCGTTTTTGTCATGTGAATCACGACTCATTTCTGTTTAGTCAAGTCATACGTTTATTTAGTAAAATTTAGAGAGATAAAAAAATAAAAAATAAATAAATAATGAAATATTAGAAAAAGTGAAAATAAATGAAACTGATATTAAATTATATTAGAAAATAGATTTAATTGTAATAAGTAACAATTCTAAAAACCTTTCAAAGGACTAACTTAATATATTGATTTAATATCATAAAATATCCTTTGTTACATTTATTTAGAGTTCAGATAGTTTGTTTATTATTATTACTAAAAATAAAACCAAGCTTAGTATTTGTAATTTTATTATTAATAACTTTAGATAATGTTCTTATTACATAATAAAAAGGTAACTGAAGAATATTGCTGCTTTTAGATTAAATTAAATTGCAAGAAATTAGTTTTCCAACGGATATGCTACAATAGCTAATTTTACAATTGCAGAAATGTAGATGGTTCAATAAAAAAAATCTATAAGATACAATATTTTCATTAATGCAATTCAATATTAAACAAAATCATCCTAATCCTAACTGATATCCATCAAAGAGGAAGAATCTGTAACGTTAGCTGAACTGTCTTTCTGAATGCTGTCAAATAAGGCTTGAAGTTCGGGAGTGGATTTGATCTGAGACAGGAACTCATTCATAGGAGGATTCTTATCTAAATTATTTCATCATTATAAAAAATAATAATATATTATTAAATAAGCTCATTAGATGGAAAACAATATTATTAAATCTTATTATACCACAACTCAATATGAATACATTTATAAAATCTTACTTAAAACAATATTTTAGCAATAATCATTTGCTTATCTGTAAGTTTATGTAAATAGAATGGTAATAATGATTACAGTGACTAATTTAAATGTTCAAATGTATTCTTTAATAAGAATTTAATTTTTAATGTAAAAATAAGACATTTCATATTTCAAGAACATAGGCAGTGAAAAACAACTAAATATACTTTACCAATATTTTAAAAGAACACCTTTTGTTGCCATCAATTTTTTTTTATTTTTTTGAAAGAAAAATACATTATGCAGCCTTTAAGTATGCATAAGTCTTAAATTGAAATGTAATTAATTCAAAATTATTTGGAAAAATTTCACTTATTTTCAACTTTATGAAATTTTCTTATGTAATTTCCTTTATTTATACTAATATAGATGTTTTAATTTGATAGAAAAAAATTTGCATCATCAGATGTTCTATATAATTTGTTACAAGATTAGTATTTTTCTGACACATTTGAAGTTTTTATTTTATAAATTTTCAAAAATACTAAAAGTATGTATTTATCTATATTTATATCTATATATATATATATAAAAATGGACATGTATGTCCCTATATTTCACTTTTCCGCCAAAACTACACATCGCACGTGAATGGTGTTTGTATGTGGTAGTAGCCCCAAGTCTCCATTCGTGCACCAGGGGGGTTGCGTCTCGATAGCTATAAGGGTGCGGGAGATATGAGGCTGAAAGTGGTTGAAAGTGGCTTTCTATTTCGAATGTTTTGTTCGAATTTGTTCGAATTAAATTCGAACATAAAATTCGAATATTGGTTCGATTATAGAACGATTGTAAACGTTCCAGAAACGTTGAAAATAGTTCGTTTGACTGGACGTGAACAGGAGACGTTCAGAAATAGAATCGGGACCAGGTCTCTAATTAGTCTGGAAACGGGGGACCTAATTCTTGCATTCTGTGAAAACGGGTAAGATTGGCTATAATGTAATTATCTTAATCTTCACTATCGTTACTTTTTGCCCACAAATAAAAACCCAGCGAAGCAGGTCTTTGCAGCTAGATTCTAGATTACTCAGAAAAACAGTCTTTTATATATAAAAAACAAAAACTATATTACATACAAATGTACGAACAAATAAAAACCCAGCGAAGCGGGTCCTTGCAGCTAGTATACATATAAAAGCATGCTCTTATATGCATCAGCTTGTTTTGGCACTGTTTTATTTATTATGTTTTACTAGATTTTCATATTTTATCTCCCTGTCTGATATTTTCATTATTAAAATAATTCTAATTTTATTGTTACAAAATAATCACCACACGAAAAAGTTCAAATCATTTATTACATATGAAATAAGATAACTATCTTGAAACTAATACAGGCAGTCCTCTACTTTTGTACAATTCGCTATTTCATATTTTTGATTTTTATCGATATATATGGCAAAACATGCATACTTGCATGTAATGGTTCTTCCCTTCTCATGAACTGTTAGTCACTAGTCCTGCCCCACCCCTCCAACATTAATCACACCCATTTTTGGCATCACAGGTTCAGTCTTGAGTAGGTGATTGTGTTGATAAATTGTGTCTTGTCAGTTTATGTTAGGACTGTGCTATCATTTTATATACATTTCTGTTTTGATGAAAGCATTCGCCCTTGTTAATTCGTAAACACGAGTGAAAAATGAAAAAACAGCAGTATCGATATGGACAAAAAAAATTGAGATCTTATAATCTCCATATGATTGAGAGCATATATCTCATGTACGAAGGGAAATAGAAAAAGAGAATGTAGCAGAACTCTATCACCAAAAGAAAAAGAAGAGTACAATTTAATTATCTCTTGAAAAATTTATAAAGAAAACACCAGATATTTTTCAATAAAAAATAAATATTTTGAAAACCCTTTATTGCTCTACTTTCGTACATCTTGACTTTCATGTACATTTCAGGAACCAATTATATACTAAAGTAAAGAACTGCCTATAATTTGAAACATTTAATAAATTCACTAAGACATCTATTGGATTATGTAATTTGGTTAATAAGTTATTTAATAATTTAGATAATCCTACACCACAGATAAATGTGCTACTGTCTACTGATAACTTATGATTAAAATAATTTAGAGTTCTTTTAAATTTAAAAAAATTTATAAAATAAATAAAATATAATCGAGTTTCATCAGTAGCTGCTACATAAATACTTCAGTTTGGAATCTTTCCAGACAAACACTATGTTTTTGCATTATATAATTATTTACTGATATTTTACTTAGAACCCTCAAACAAAATTTGATTAACTATAACGGACACATCTTGATACTATTCTAAATTATCTAATCACTGAAATTATCAAAAAGAAGTGATATAGTTATTTGTAGAATCAAATTTTTGATTTATTTATTCTGAAGTAATTATGTTAAAAAAAACTTGTTAAAAGACAAAAAGTTAAAATATGTGTATTTTGACTTTATAAGCATATACTTTTAACAGATATGCTTTTATGATTAAAAAATTTTATTTTCAAAATAAAGTTAATAAACTATTCAATATTTTAAAATGAAATATCATAAGTATTGAATAATTTTAACTATTGAATTTTTTGATTTTACTTTAGGAGCATTCAAGTGTATTACAGTGATTTTTCTAATTTATGAATATTTAATGACACAACTTTAAAATAATATATGGCAATCACTTTATGGAAAGCATCATGATAGTCTGTCATTTTCTCATAGTTTTTTCTAAAGATTGTCAATTGATAATCTATTGTAAGTGTGTAACATTTTTACTTTTATGCTTATTTTTATTTTCCTATACGGCTAACTTAGCTAGGATATAAGATGTAGGCTTATAGCCTTATTTTGCAAATATTTTCATTAACGTGGATTTAAATTGCTTAAGACATTATGGAATGTAACCCTTACATAAATTAAGAAGTAACTGTACTTTAGTATCTAATAATGTACATCATATGATAATATGCATTATTTTTCACTGAATAAACAAACACAGATTATTAAAAATTTTTTAAAAATTGAAGTTTTCCTAAATAATATATTAGATTTTAAAAATAACATTTTCTATATTACATATAAACAAAATATACTACAAAAAGTTAAGTTTTTAATACAATCCATAGTTTTAGTTTTATGAATATTACTATATAATATAACTTTATCATTCTTACATTATTTTACTTTGATTATATACAAGTAACTTTTAATTATATTTTATAAAAAAAAATATTTTTTATATAATGTACAAAATACATTTAAATCTTAAATAACATTTATGATAAAGTACTATAAGATTTACAATAGTTTTATTTAATAAATAAAAACAAATATTCTTACCTGCATCAGGAATTGCCATTAATGCAGCAAATGCTCTCATGGCAGACCTCTTTAATTCATCTTGTTTTTCAAATTCTTGTTTAACAGCATTTGGCTTGACTTTGCTGGTACATGTATTTCTAAGAGGTTCCACAAGCTGTTCTAACCTCTGCAAAATTGCTGAAGGACAAAGTGTTGCTAGCCTAACTAACATAAGATAGGTGAGCATTTTAATGTCATAATGATCTCTCAGTCCATTCTCTACATGGTTCAAAAATTCAAATATATCTAATCGATCTATACAAGAATCTAAAAGTGTGTACATGCATTCAAAGGCAGCCTGAAAAAATTAATATAAAAATGTAAATGACAGAAAATTATGTTGAACTATTTCTTATTCTCTTATATATATGTTATTAAAATAATAATTAAATAATAGATGACTAAGTAGTAAGAAATATCTTATTGACAAGATTTATAAAGTCTTGTTTATAAAATTGTACTGCTGATTTATGTTACCAGCTTAGAGGTATGAAGGAGTACATGTCGAGAGATAATATTTGGCACAGAGTATTAGGTGCCCAAATCATTAAAAAAATCCAGACTTGTAGGTAGTCGGGGACCGAGAATCAAGTCAAAATAAAATACAAAATGGTGACCCTCTTCTACAAACAGGCACCTCACCCCACTGAAGTCAGGTGGGGGAGAGTACCACCCACAGTCATTCTAAATAAACTCTGACCTTAGGACTGAACACGTAATTTTTTTTACGTTAAATAAAATTTGTAATCTAATTTTGTACATTTGGGAGTGCTTCAAATATGACATTAAAACAGGGTGTCGTTACAAATAGGGTTTTTAACATTATCTAGTATAGTAAAATCGTGGGAACAATAAAAATTTGACGTTATATTAGGGTTGTCGTTAAATCCGATGACGTTATAATCGAATTAAACTGTATATTGTTTGTGCAAAATAAAAAAATAATTTCAGAAAATGCAATAGCCATGATTATTTTTTCAAAAATGGGAAATTTTTGTTATGCATCGATAAAAATTCAACCCGGGCCGACACACAACAGAGAGAAATTTCGAAATTGGATAGGTTAATTTCATCGAAAATGCATTGTGGCTGGTGAAGTTTGAACGATCACGCCCAAAAGCAACGATACCAAAGAAGATTGGAGAATGAGAACAAGTCTCCAAGACGTAGTCTTGTCCCAAACATGGTTGCTGTTTTACTTGTTTAAATTTAAAACATCAAATGAAAATAGCATTTTGTGTTGAATTAAAAACACTAAAATACAATCTACAAAATCTACATCATTTTTAAATTTTGTATTATATAAAGACACTTATACTCGTAATGCAAATATTAAAAAAAATCTTATTAAATTTAAATAAATATTGTTTAATAAACTTATATGATATTTTTTTTTGTAAAATAGAGCTGACAAATTTACAATTTAATAAAATTATGTAACAAACACTTTTTGCCATGTCCAATCACCAGGAACAACTATCTTCCACTGCAGAGACGACCTTTCTTTAAATACCTCTGCAAAAAATGCAAAACTTTTAATTGTGATGGGATTGTCACCCGTGGACTTTTAGACTGTTTTTTATTTTTTTGCAGAGGTGTCTAAAGAAAGGTTGTCTCTGCAGTAAAAGATAGTTGTTCCTGGTGATTGGACATGGCAAAAAGGGAAGACATTTTTAGTCTCTGGTACATATTTTTATTAAATTATATACTTCAAGTTTATTAACTTACTGTCTAAATTAGTAACTTAATAATTGATGGGCATTGAATTTCTGATTACTTTATCATACCACAATTTAACTAAAAACATAATTATAGTATGTTCTTTGTTTTTTTAGTTATCTTACATAAATTACATTATTAGGCTTCGTAAAAAAATACGATTGTTAAATAATAAAAAATTTCTCATGATAATTACAATAATTATGTAGAATAAATGATATTCTTTTATAATAACTACTATATTTCAACTTCAGCATCTCTAATTATGAATGGTAATAAAAATATATATGTGCCTGTTTGCTTTTAACTATGTATTATTTATAAAGATCAAAGATATCTGAAAATTTCATCCACTTTCTGAAAGAATTTTATATAAATAACAAGTAAAATGGCAAAACCGTATTTGGGACAAGACTATGTCTCGGAGACTCACTATTAAGCGGAATCACTTTGACGCTCAAGGCGGGTCTTGTTCTCATTCTCCAATCTTTTTTGGTATTGCTTTTGGGTGTGATCGTTCAGACTTCACCAGCCACAATGCATTTTCGATGAAATTAATCTATCCAATTTCAAAATTTCTCTCTGTTGCGTGTCGGCCCGGGTTGAATTTTTATCGATGCATAACAAAAATTTCCCATTTTTGAAAAAAATAATCATGGCTATTGCATTTTCTGAAATTATTATTATTTTGCACAAACAATATACAGTTTAATTCGATTATAACGTCATCGGATTTAACGACAACCGTAATATAACGTCAAATTTTTATTGTTCCCACGATTTTACTATACTAGATAATGTTAAAAACCCTATTTGTAACGACACCCTGTTTTAATGTCATATTTGAAGCACTCCCAAATGTACAAAATTAGATTACAAATTTTATTTAACGTAAAAAAAATTACGTGTTCAGTCCTAAGGTCAGAGTTTATTTAGAATGACTGTGGGTGGTACTCTCCCCCACCTGACTTCAGTGGGGTGAGGTGCCTGTTTGTAGAAGAGGGTCACCATTTTGTATTTTATTTTGACTTGATTCTCGGTCCCCGACTACCTACAAGTCTGGATTTTTTTAATGATTTGGGCACCTAATACTCTGTGCCAAATATTATCTCTCGACATGTACTCCTTCATACCTCTAAGCTGGTAACATAAATCAGCAGTACAATTTTATAAACAAGACATACTCTTGTCAATAAATGTTAAAATATGACATGAATTTAATTCATATATTACATTTAATTAACAGTCAATTACTACTACAATAAACAATACGATCTGAATATTTTAAATTAAAGAAGTCTTATAGTTTTCAGTTTGTTTGTTTGATTTTTAAATCAATCCAATAATACCAAACTTAACTAATTTAAATAGTTCTAATATCTAACAGATAAATTAATATAGTAATTATAATTATAAATATGATTAAATATACCTTTCTAATGTCCAAACCATCATCTACAGTATGCTTGAAGGGACCCATTTCTACTTCTCTAATTAGCTCTTTCTAAAAAAAAAAAAAAAATAAATTTATACACCTTATTTTTATTATTAACAAATAATATATTTTAAATATAAGTGTAATTACCCTAAACTATAATTTCAAGTCAAATTTTAAAATCAATTTCAGATATTTTGTTGACTGAATACAAAAAACATTCAAAATTGACCATAAATTATTATTTTTAATAAATGGGACATAAGATTAGATTCCAAAAGTTAGCAAAAGTATGCTATTCTTTTTCATAATTATGAGAAATATGTTTATTAAAGCAATCAATAATTACTAACAATCACAATCAAAGTATAGCACATTAATGTTAATTTTTTTCTTCACTGCTAAACACTGTTAAACCAGAACATTTTCTTTTTGCCAAAAATATCTTCTTTTGAGTTTTCTATTAACCTTAATCTGAAGTATCAGCAACTTCTTGTTTTTCTCTACATTTTTTCATAAAATCTGACATTTTCATTTCCTTGCATTTGCCTAAGAGATCTTTAAAAATTTAATTTTTCTGGGTAGTAATTTTTTATTTAACCTATAAAAACAAAACACAGGAAGTCTTTCAAATTCATTTAGAGCACTATCACCAATGACAACAACACCTGGTTTATAGGAAAGGTAGAATAGGAAGCTAGGACAAGGGAGAAGAAAAACATTATTAGAACAATCAGTTCTCATTAAAGAAATCTGGCCAAGAAGCATGAAACAACATTGAAAATTTTAATAATTCTAAAATCCACGGGCAAATATGAAACAACATGCATACATGCTTGCTTAAATAAAAAAAATATTAAATGATGGGGTTTGTACTTAAAAATTGTGACGCTTTGTCTGGAAATGTTCTCAAACTGTGTTAGAATGAAACAGTGTTGAAGGAACACTGTGTTGTATGTCAATGGTCCCCAATTAGTGGTACGCATACCCCCAGGGGTACGCGTATGAAGTTGCATGAAGGGGTACGTGCGGCAATCTAAAATCAATTGATTTAAAATTTAAATGCATGAGATGAAGCAATCAAAAAAATAATGGGAGGACCATCAAAAATTCGGCAATTTACAACATGATGTCGAATGCACAAATTTGTTTATTTATAACTAAAAATATTCTCGAAATTTCATTAAAAAAAAAAAAAAATGCATTTGTGATAATACCTAAATTCTTATGCAAGAAACAAAAGTTGTACAATTAACATTATTATCATGTCAGCAAAGTGGCAATAAAATATTTACTACCATTTTGCACAACATACCTCCGCAAGAGCGGATTTTAGGCCATGACAAATACGAAAACTAAACATCATTACCGACTTTGACTCAAAGATGACTCAAGACTGAAGCTGACCAAAAAGCAACCAGATTTTACAAAGTTGTGCAAAGAAACTCGTGCACATTTGCCACGTTAAAATTAAATAACCTTATGTTATTTTCATTATCATTAGAATTGTATTTTAAAGGTAATAAATGTAATAAAGAAAACTTATTCTATTTATCACTAGCTGTCTACACACAGCTTCACCAGCATTATGTCGAATTTACTCACAGGAATAAGATATTTTCTCGGGGTAAAATTTAGCCTATGTCCATCTCCAACATGTAAGCTATTTCTGTGCCAAATTTTATTAAAACTTGTTCAGCGGTTTAGACGTGAAAAGGTAACTGACAGACAGACAGAATTACCTTCGAATTTATAATAATAGTATGAATTAATATGAATTTCTTCTATAAGGAGTATGCGAGTTTGAGCTCTTTCTTGCAGTGGTACGCAGGTAAAACTAATTGGGAACCACTGTTGTATGTGAAATATCACCAATTCTCAAACTGTGTTAGAATGAAACAGTGCTGTATTGTATTTTATAATCATTGCTATCACAAGCCTAAAATATTCATGGTTTTCTATAAGAATCAAATTTTATTAAGTTGAACATTTTCAAGATTTTATTCTTTCAGATGTAATAATCATATCCTTAATTGCATATTAATTTCAAAAGAAACAATAATAAATAACTTACCCTAACTTTAGTTTCATTATATAATTGCGGAAGAATGCAATCCAGCAAGTCCCTCACCAAGGATGGCTTGTTGTGAGCTGCAGAATTAAATGCAACAAGTGCTACACGTCTCACATTAAGATCAGGATCTTGTAACGTCCTGAGAAAATCTCCGATGCAATTTCGTAACAAAACATCAATAATTTGAGGCTGAAATTTATAACAATATAAAGTTTAAATACATAATTAAATTATTTGTAGCAAAAATTAGCATTAATTTGAATACTATAAAAACCTTTGATAAACCTTAATATTGTAAGACCAATTTATTTTTATTTTACTTATTTTTCAGGTATATTGGTAATGCATAAAGCAAATAAAAACTACCACTCTGTAAGAATTTGTTCTTTAAATCTATGTACAGTTTGATATATGCCTTTGTCATTGAAAAAAACACTTCTATAGTATTAATTTTATCATATTGCTAGCAATTTTTAATAATAGAGAACATATTCAGTTTAATTAAATATAACAGACACTCAATCTTAAAATTTATAAAATTCTTGTATAAAAACATGGTTAAATCAGAATATGATTGAAATGTATTCCCTATCCTCATATTTATTTACTTTCTATTTATTATGTTTCTGTTTCCATCATTAGTTTTTAAATGAACTAATGATGGAAACATTTTCAATTCAGATCAATAACAAAACCTTTCATTATAAACAGTTTGCTTACTATTTGGTTTTGCTAACACCAACAAAAATTGCAGTATAAAGAAAAATTAATTTCCCTAATACTTATATTAAATCAAATCACTTGCTAATTAATTGTGTACATACACTCCTTTATAAAGTTATTTATAGACGAATTCATATAACTTTATAATTAAATTTCCATAACATTATACATATATTAGCCTTAAAAATTTTTAAAGTATAAATACATTAAGTTAAAACATCATACTAAGTATTATAAGTTGCTTTATGGTTAAAGTTAAATCCCAATGCTATCAATATACCAATGACACATTCTAAGCACACTGTCATTTTTCATGTTTGTATGAAACAAACTAATTATATATGCATATACAGTGGAACCTCGGTATATGACCTTAAACCGTTCCTGATGTTTGGACTTATACCAAATAGGACATATACCGAACCAACCTTTCCCATAAGAAGTAATGTAAAGTTAATGTAAAAAAAAATCTGCTCTCATGTTAAAAAAAAAATGGCTGGCTTGAAATACCTCGCTTTCCTGGCTAGTTCCTGCTTGATTTTTCATGAGATCAGCATGTATCTTTTTAGCTTTCTCGCAAATAATTGCTTCTGATACGCTGTCGCCAGCACACTGTTTTTCAGTTATCCAAAGCAAAAGCAATTTCTCAACATGATCTAATGTCTTCGATCTCTGTTTAGAAATTGATTTAACCCCTTTCGCAACGTTAGCAAATTTAATAATGTCTTTATTTTTCACGATTGTCGATATCGTCGTTCTCGGAATACGGTATGCAACAGTTAAATCTCGAACACGCATGCCACCTTCATATTTCTCAACAATCTCTTTTTTCAGTTCCATTGTGATTCTAGTCATTTTTTTAGTTTTCTGTTGCTTTTCATTTGCCTTTTTGCAATTCATGATTAATAAAAATAATAAAATTTTACTTACAAATTAAAATCAGAAGAAATTTAACAAAGTTATAAACTGTGGCACCGCGAACGTCTAGTCTGGTCTAGTATACCGATAGTGCTACTTGTTCATAGATGGCGCGTATAATTGAATTAAGTCGTATACCGAGCAAAATTTGTTTCGTCCAAACAGGATGTATTCCGAATTTGATGTATTCTAAAGCAGACGTATACCGAGGTACCACTGTATATCATAACGTAGTATATAACACATCAGCAAAAACTTGCTTACCTGATCTGATATTGTAAATTTCATAGCTGTTACCACTGTACTTCTTGCTAATGGCGATTCTGCATTTAGGTAAGATTTTAATTTAGGCAAAAGATTTGGTGGATCTATTAATGTTAGTTTTCCGAGACATTCTGCTACAACATTCCTTGTTCCTTCTTCTGTACATTCACAATGATTAAACAACATGTGCCTAAAAATAATTCATTGATTTTAGAACAATTTTAATACAAAATCATAGATGAACAGATGAAAATCTATATTATTTCACTTAAATCTGAAAGTTCTTATGTATAAAATCTAATTCAAGTAACAAACACCTTATTTTTTGCCAAGGGAGTTTTATTAAAAAACTAACGTTTTCGATCTACTCCATAGATCATCTTCAGGTTTAAACATTCGAATTTGGAATAACAAAAAATAGAACACCAAATTCAAATTCAAAGAGATAAATACCGATAACGTAGCAACTAATTAAAATAAAAGTTAAAGCGTAAAAATACATAAATGTAAAAATAAATAACATACAACCATTAAATATTATTATTATAAGCCACTATCCTTTAACCAATAAAAATCATTATGGTTCCCATAACGCAATTGCGGATATGGCGCAATTCAAGAGCTACTTGTAAGTTTTTTAAGTTTTTGAACGGCGTACTTCCATGCTGAGGGTAGGCCCTCCGCATCTCTGGCGTTTATGCATTTTTCATCTAGCTTGCTCCTATATATTTCCATTTTTTCAGCAGTTTTCGCTAAAGTTGGGGAGTGCACTTGCTTGATGATTTCCGCATCCTCCCATCTAACTACGGATCCTTGGGCCTGAGCCATCTGGGCCAGAACTGTTGCGTTAGATCTTTTTCTAATATCGTATTTATGCTCTTTGACCCTTATTCCTAGGTTTCTCGTTGTAACTCCTATGTACTCCTTTTCTATTCCTAACATAATCGCTGGCATTATTAGAAAATTTGGGATAGACGATACAAGGGCCTCAAAACAAGAACCTAGTAAATACACAAAGTGTACATTCAACAAAAATGTAAGAACCATCATGAAGGAGATTGCGGACAGTAAAGGATCAACGTTGATCGTAAAACGAGCTCCGAATCTGTACAAGATTCTAAGAAATGATAAAGGGGATATCAAAAAGGAAGATAAAGCAGGAGTTTATAGGATCCCGTACGAGAACCAGCAGTTAGGAATAGAAAAGGAGTACATAGGAGTTACAACGAGAAACCTAGGAATAAGGGTCAAAGAGCATAAATACGATATTAGAAAAAGATCTAACGCAACAGTTCTGGCCCAGATGGCTCAGGCCCAAGGATCTGTAGTTAGATGGGAGGATGCGGAAATCATCAAGCAAGTGCACTCCCCAACTTTAGCAAAAACTGCTGAAAAAATGAAAATATATAGGAGCAAGCTAGATGAAAAATGCATAAATGCCAGAGATGCGGAGGGCCTACCCTCAGCATGGAAGTATGCCGTTCAAAAACTTAAAAAACTTACAAGTAGCTCTTGAATTGCGCCATATCCGCAATTGCGTTATGGGAACCATAATGATTTTTATTGGTTAAAGGATAGTGGCTTATAATAATAATATTTAATGGTTGTATGTTATTTATTTTTACATTTATGTATTTTTACGCTTTAACTTTTATTTTAATTAGTTGCTACGTTATCGGTATTTATCTCTTTGAATTTGAATTTGGTGTTCTATTTTTTGTTATTCCAAATTCGAATGTTTAAACCTGAAGATGATCTATGGAGTAGATCGAAAACGTTAGTTTTTTAATAAAACTCCCTTGGCAAAAAATAAGGTGTTTGTTACTTGAATAATTATTTTGCCAAGTACGTTTCTGTTCAATATAAAATCTAAAGTAAATTTATCTCATTTACAATTTAAAATGTTTCTTTTTCCTTGTAAATAAATTAAAAAAAAAAAAAAAAATTAATAATACAGCTGTCTCTTGATAGTCCAACGTTTTGTAATCCGACATGCTCAGTAGTCCAATGCACCTCCTGTCAAGGTACCTGTCCCCGTTATGTGTCTGCTTGCACAGATTCATGTCGCGACATGAATCTGCCCACCCAATTCTTATATGATGACACACATTTCGTGTGTTTTTCCGTGAGCAGTTCTGTTCGAACAGTTGGAGTAGGGAATATTGTAGGCTACTGCTAGCAAAACAATGACAAATATGTAATCACTTTAGGTAATCCGACACCCCTTTGGTCCCATAACTGTCGGATTATCAAGGGACAGCTGTATTTTGTTTAGTCCAATAAAGTTACTTAATTTTTACTCTTTGCCATTATTTTATAATTAAATTTCTATAAAGATTTTTTAAAATAATGAACAGAATTACTAGCAAAACTGAAATGAAAATGCATGATAAAGAAGAATAACTGTAGAGTCAATTGTAAATAACAAAAATCAGTAAAATGTAACAATCAACAATTCAATTTATCTCTGACCTATAAAAATGAATATGCATAAAAAATATATGAAACTACACATTTTTCAGATTCATCTCAACTCTGATTCTATGTCAAGACTGATGCTAATGAAATAGAGTTTTTTGCCGATCTTTATTATTGTAATAAAACATTCACATCTATTGGGAAATGTACCATGTAACTGAATTTCTTACATTCTTTAAATTATATTAAATAAGTAATGATTTCTTCATTTTAATAATATTGTATTAAAAGAGCACTGAGAAAATACTTATACATGATCTAAATTTTCAAAATTCAGTAATTTGGTATTCATATTTTGTTAGGACATATATTTCTAATTAAAAATCTTATTGTGGATAAAACAATATAGATTTTCAATGGAAGAATATGATACAAACAATATCACTTTAAAAATAAAGAATAAAAATATGATTTTTATCTGATACCCGAAACAGATTTCTACTAAACTGTAAATAATTAACCAAATATTTTTCCAAGTTTTTAATTGGTTTTTAAATAATTTAATGATTTGAATCATAGAAAGTTATGTTACCATGTTGAAAAGCTTAATGATTAGGCAGCTTAAATTTAATTAAATTCAGAAAAATCTGAAAAAGTAATCCCATAAAAGAAGATTCAAATCTGAAATTCTTGCTTAAAATGTTTGTATACTGTATGTTGTATTATCATAATATTAAGTCTGAAGCTTTCCAGGTATATACATAATGATTCAAATAAAACAAAATTCAATAATTTAATAGTCAAATAGGCATTTTTAAAAATTTCAAAAAATTAAATCTTGGCTTTAATAACTTATTCTATAAAAATGTTTGGATTTAATTATCTGATTAAATAAAATATTAATGTGGTATTATTGTTAAAAAGTCAAGCATTCATTAGATTGAATTGTAAAACTACTCTTCATTTTTAAAATTAAATTATGAAAAATGTGATCACTCATTAAGAAATATTATTTCTCTTACCAAATAGCTTCTACAAATGGTTGAAGAGTTTCAACAGATGCTGGACTAGCAGATTGGCAACTAATAACCTGAAAAAAATATTTTAAATTAACATAGTAATAAATTATGCTCGGCAAAAATTCAGGTGTGTTGTTATATTTAATTGCAATTGCTGAGAGAAAGGTGGATAATAACATAGTAATAGCCAAATTGAATCTTATTTATGTTGTGTTTGCATATTATTCATTTATTCGACATGATGAAATATTCTTTATATTATGTAATCTGATATTGACTTTTAGGGTTACATTTATGCAGATGTGAGAAAAGCAGCAGGAAGAGAAAAAAGTCCAAGTAAACCAACGAAGCTCATGCACCCATAGGAGCACTCTCCTTGTTTTCCTTCTAGTCGTGTTCATGCAAAAGTGGAAAGGAAAAGTCCAATGAATTTTACAACAAAATAAAATTAAAGAAAAATACATAAAACTATTCTATTATGTTCATAGTTTTTTCCTTCTATTTATGGTCTCCCTGTGTTCTTTTTTTTGCAGCTTCTTAGGCTATTTTCTTCACATTCCAAAGACTGCCAATATTCATCATCATCATCATTTTGTTGTGCAGTAGCTTGGCATCCTTACTTCTGCACTTTTTAACTTAGGAGAGGAGAGAAAAAAAATACAAGGAATAGTTCAATAGGTTGAACTTTCGATAACGAAGGAAACTGGTGCATTTTTCTTCTCTCTTCTGCATAAACTGCATCATGAGTGTGAATTTCAATTCTAAAAGTTTTCTTTCACCTGTTTTTCCCGCTTTTTACATCTGCATAAACATAGTCTTAGATTAATATGTAATCTTTTTGTCTTTTATAATTAAATTCAATTTACTCTGATTACTTCTCCTTTTCATGCTAAATAGTTTGAAGTTTAATTTTATTATTTAAAATTATAGATCTTTTCAGTTTTATAGTAAAACTATAGTAGTGGTTATCAATATTGTTTTAGTCACGTTCCTGAGTTTTAGTTGGTTAAAACTACACTGGTTGTTAAATACTGAACATTCATGTTGCAGATAATTTTAATTCTGTATGAATCTATAAATAATTTATATATTAAAAGTTGCATTGGCCTTTCCAATTCATTGACTAATATGAAATGTTTGAGTTTGGAAAGAAACTTTTTACAGAAAAACAAAACATAGACTGTTTTGTTTTTCTGTAGAATTTTATAAAAATATTTCTTGTTCTAAAATTGCACAACCATTATTACTATTTTAAAAAATATTCTAATTTATTAACTGTCCACATTTTATTAATATACATCTGTGTATTGAGGATGGCTTGGAGTCACATTGAAAATATTTCATAATTGATATTGTTAGTTTTCAGAAGCAAGTATTTATTTATTTACCGTATTTACTCACATATAGGACGAGATGTGACTTTAAAGATCAAAATAAAAAAAATTAGATTTATTAATACAATTCTAATTTTATTTTGTTTAATCACAAGTAAAATATCAAATGAATGTAAATGCACACATTGTCCTACAAAAATTACTGGCATCTTAAACTTTAAGGAAAAGTCTTGTAAAATAAACAGCATAATTTGTTCATGTAAAGCTGGACAATCAGAAGCCTTTTTTTGCCAATTCTTAACAGTCGAATCCACTTATGAATTTCTTTGAATTCTGATTTCCGAATAATCATTTGTTTCCATGTGGGAATGGATTAAAACTTATATTGGGCTTCCGTGTGATTTTGGAATTTCAATCTGGAATTCAATTCAAAAGCTTTGCTTTTCCTATTACTATCATCTTTATTCCTGACAATATACAAGAACAATTCAAATGACCCAGATAAAATACTCATGTTTTTAAATACAAGAGGGTAAGCATCTGGTAAAAAATGCAAATACATGGTTCACAAAAATTATTTGAAAAACGCAAAGAATCTTTCACTTGCATGTATAGGACGACCTAGGAATTTGAAACTGTGATAAATGAATAAAAAACTATCTTATATGTGAGTAAATACAGTATTTTATAGAAACTTGATTGGCAGTATCCACAAAAGACAGAAAAATACCTCTCTCCACAATAATAAGCCCAAATAATTTTATTTTAATTATTTATTACTAACATGGTGCCAAGTATTGTATACTTTCATATGTAGATAATATTCCAAATTTAACCTGATCAGTTAGTGACTAAGTAATAAGATCCAATTTCTCTCTTTTAGTGACATTACACAAAAATAAGATTCAATCACAGAACATTTTTCAACATCCTCATCATCATGTCTTTATTAAATTAATACAAAAATTTGCAAATTCAATATAAGTACTTTTTGCAGCAAAGAATTGAAATAAGAACTTTAATTATAATGATTCTGTCTTGTTTTCCAAAATAAAAAAAAAATTACAAATTACCAAATATTTTATAGAATTCTTTTGGTGTATCTATGAAGATAATAATTTATGTTTCTTTAACATATAAACATAAAATTTTCATTTTAAATTTTAACTAATAAAACTTTAAGAAACTTGCTTTCTTAAAGTTTTACTAGTTTTTTTGCTTTTAATTTATAATAAAATTTTCATTCTTTTGTAGGATACTATAAATTTTAAAACAAATATATTTTTTTAAATATTTAAAACCAACATATGAATTAAATTAATTCCATATAATTTTCAATTTCTACTTTTATTAAGTTATTAAATAGGACAAAATTTATTTATTCCAATTAGAAAAAATTAAATTCTCTAAATTTTAATCTTTTCCATTAAAAAATTTAATTTTAATGTTTTGCATTTTATTGATTTGCACACTTAAGATATTGATGTAACAGAAATAACTACCATCATCATATTAACGCTTTAATTAATTTAATAGGTTTTTATTACAATGGTGAACAAGAAATTTTATAATGTACAAAAATTCTCAAATACACTGATGGAAAATAAAATCCCAACACCAAAAAAGAGTTGTGCTAGATAAAGGAAACTTGGTAGGCTTTTTTCATATCTGAAATATGACGTCTATTCAAATTTCATGCTAGACGTGCGAGAATAATAAGAATAGTCCGAGTAGCACCACTATGAACATACAAGTCATGTTTGCTGTAAATATGGGATGTAAACTTGTTGAGTGTTATTTATCATGTGGATTGAACATTGTGAGTTAATGTTTGAGTCATGAATGCCTTTAAGGAGATGAAGAAGGCTGTATCAGCAGCTTACTGAGTTTGAACAAGGCCAGGTAATAGGACTATGAGAAGGTGGATTTTCTTTGTGCTATTACAGAAAGACTTGGCAGGGATGTATCCACTGTGCATGATTGTTGGCAGCTGTGGTCATGGGAAGGTGCTGTCTCAAGAAGACTTGGTCCAGCCACATGGGCCGCTACTGAGAGGGAAGACCGCTGTATTCGGCACATGGCTGTGATGCATCATACTGCATCTGCAGCAGAAATTAGAGCTTTTGTTGGTGCCAGAGTGACCCAGATAACTGTAACAAATTGATTACTTGAGGAACAGCCCCAAGCCAGATGCCCTGTGGTGTTCATTCCACTAACTCCAAATCACTGTCATCTGCAACTTCAGTGGTGTCAAGCAAAAGCTCATTGGAAGGCTTTGTGGAGATCTGTTGCATTCTCAAATGAGAGTCGTTTCTTTCTTGGTGCCAGTGATGGCCATATGTTTGTTACAAGGAATCCAAGTGAGTGCTTGGAACCAAGCTGTCTGCAGTGTAGACACCAGGAGTTATGGTCTGGGGAGCGATTTCCTATGACAGCAGGAGCACTCTTGTCGTTATCCCAAGCACCTTGACAGCAAATTTGTATGTCATACTGGTGATTGAACTGGTTAACTGCCATTCATGAGCAATATTCAAGGGGGTGTTTTCCAACAGGATAACGCTCGTCCTCATACTGCTGCTGTCACCCAATGTGCTTTACAGAGTGTCGACATTTTGCCTTGGCCTGTAAGATTACCAGATCTTTCTCCCATCAAGCACATATAGGACATTATTGGACGACAAATTCAGCATCACCCACAACCAACATTAACTGTTGCTGATTTCACTGACCAAGTTCAACAGGCATGGAACTCCATCCCACAAAATGACATATGGCACCTGTATGACACAATGCATGCATGTTTGCATTCAGAACTGTGGTGACTACAACAGTTATTAATTAATGTACCACCATTTCATATTTGAAATGGATCATCTCACACATACTTTAGCCGTGACTTTAAAAAATTCAATCAAATAAATATGTTACCTAGAAAAATGCTTTGCCTGAATTTCATTCCTCTAAACTAATTTTTCTTGGTGTTGGGATTTCATTTTCTGCCATTATAGATAATACTTTAAAAAGTATCTTATCACTTCATATGATAATACTTTAAAAAGTATCATACTTAAAAAATGTATTCATTTGATAAGTTTTATCAAATGAATACATTTTTTAATTGATTGTGTCATTGTCAGAAGGAAAATTTTAACATTTAACATATTAATGTGGACAAGAAACCACTAAAGAAAGATAAACTCCACCATGAGATGTTATTTTCTGATGTTGTTTGAAAGAGACAAAGTGAGAAGACACTTTTTAAAATATTATCTATTTGAGAATTTTTGTAAATTTCTAAGTTTATACTTATTGTCTCAGCCATTTTATCAAATAAATTTTATCTTTACATATGATTTAATAATTCCAAACTACCCAATTATCATATTTTCCTAATTCACAACTTAAAAATTAATTAAGTTAACATGGTTATAAAAAATTATTTATTTAATTACTTACTTCCTTCAAAGAATGTAAAAGAAGATATTGGCGTTTAGGTTGTGCTTCAATCTCCTGAAGAATAAATGGTAAGTATTCTTGTAAGTTACCAATGGCAACACTACCTAATTGAAAAGAAATTTTCATATTTATGATGATATCAAAAATTTTAAATGTATAATATAAGACAGTTCATAAAGTAATAAAATCCAAAAAAAGTAATAACAACAATCATCATTCATAAATTATTATTAAAAAAATTTCTTGAAATTCATATATTTTATGAACTTAAAATGAAAAAAATATATATCTTTGTAAAGATGTTTCTTTAGTTTCATTGCTTTAATGTTTCTGGAATGATTTTCAATTAATCATCAAATACACATTCTGATAAAATAAATTAATAATAGCTTAAAAATAATTATTGTTTATCCAACACAATGTAGTGCAACTTAATGATCACTTGGCTTTCTTTCACCTTTATTCTAGTTCAATAAAGATGAAAGAAAGCCAAGTGATTGTTAAGTTGCACTACATTGTGTTGGATAAACAATAGAAATAGAACATGACATGGTTTCAAATTGATAAAAATAATTAATTTAAAAAATTTTATATAGGCAGACATTGCTAATATAGCATATTAGGTACCAGACTACAGCTATAAAAAATTTTGCCATAAAGCAAAACACATCACCTTCTTTTTTTTCACTTTCCAGTGCATATAAAAAAAGCCCAAAAAATAGAAAAGAAAAAGGTAAAAATAATAGATAAACAGAAATCCCCAGAAACCATCTTAATTTAAGAGCAAGGATACTTGAAATCAATATTACAAACATAAAAAGCTTACTTAATTGTATTGTGTGCATCTTTCATAGGTTTAAATGGCATTTAAATATTAATTTAAAATTCTGTTCTTATTTTATTAAAGAGATTCATTCTTTTAATGTATATAATTTAAAATTTAATATTTTACCTAAAGCAAATGATGCAGCTGATTTAACTTCCTCACTTTGTGATGTAAATGCATCCAAGAGAGTAGTTTTCAAATTTGATATACTGCAGAGATCTCTACACAAAGCAATTGATTATAATATTTAATTATATATATATATATATATATAGTGTTAAAAAATTAAAATATTTGTAAATATCTTAAGATTAAATTGGTAATAATTATAATTTTTAATTAATTTAATATTACATTTCAAACACAAATTGCAATCTTAAGTTAAAATTATAAAAATCATAATAATATTAAAGAATAAATTACATAAAAAAAATCAAACTCTTCCATTTATAAAAGAAACATTCAAATTAACAGATTAATTTAGAAGTCACATAATAATCTTTATAATTAAAACATAGTACACTCAGTTTATTGAAATCACACAATTTTATTAGTCATTTAATGTTCTGATAACATTAACATACAAGGTAAAATTTCCTATAAAAATTTTTGCTTAGTTTTAATTACAGTTTGGTTATTGCTATAATTATCTTTGGGTAAATTTTTAAATTCCTTTCATATTACCAGTCCAAATATGTAGCTGATAACACGTAACCATTAACAATCTTAACAAGTAACTAAAAACATTAATCATTTTAATTATTATTTTGTCACAATGCAATACTGCTGACACTTCTTACTTCAATTATATGCTAGCCATTTTTAAAGATAATAGAAAGCAAACAACACTCAATTACATATCTCTATCAATTAATAAATCTTCAAGTTACATAATTTTTAATTGTTTTAGAATATCCTTCTATATCAGAGTGAATAAAACAATTACTTCTAATTGTAATTGTATTAACTTATTCTATTTAATGTTATCAGTATAGGAGAAGTTAATGTGATTTGAAATTGTGGTGTCTATTTTATTTAAGAAAATAATATTTTTATCCATAGTACACCACATTTTAGATAATTCAACTTAAAACTTTAATAATATATTTTAACTTTATAGGTTATTTTTACTTTTGTAAAAGTAATCATGTTTCTATTAATAATCAATTTAATGATCAATTTAAACCATAGCAGATATAAACAATCATTATCTGTTAATACATTTGAATCTCAAATTATAAAAATTTATTTTATATCATTGTTTCTATAAAAGGTAAAATTATTCATATAAATTAATTAATATTATTAAATTAGTTGATAATATAAAAAATTCTTATAGTGCAATATATATTTTAAAGACTTACATATGTTTTCCAATTTCTCCAATAGCTAGAACAGCAAATAACTGAATTGAATCCATATTCTGATGTATCTAAAATATAATAAAGCAAAACTAAGAAAAGATAATTACAATATATTTTTGAAAAAAATCATTTTTAGTTTTGTTTGAAGCTACTCTTTCAAGAAATTTTATAATGTAACAAACATTTTCAATAATAAATGAAGTCAAAAATGACAAAAATGAAACAGGAAAATATTTAAATACCATTTGTCTTAAAAAATTAAAAAAAAGACAGCAAAAATAAAGATGTCAGAAAATAATTTTTAACATTTTTTTCTTTCTTGTCTACATTTCACTCATATTTTTAAAATAAATTCTTAATTTTATTTAAGATTTTGTCACTCATTTCATATGCTACAAGTTTCTATTCATTATTAATTTTATTTGTTCCTTTTTCAAAGTGATTGTTTTTAGTAATATTTTAATAAAAATATAATAAATTTAACTGAAAATATCAGGTCAGTCCATAAGTTCATGAGTATTTTTATCTAGAAAAAAAGCAACAAAAAATTTTAATTAAATTTTATTTCAATCTATAATGTATTCACCATTATTTTGTACAATTTCTTGCCATCTTGATGGTAGCTTTTTAATCCCGTCTTCGTAAAATGATTTCGGTTTTGAATCAAAATATTCAGAAATAGCCTTTTTTACATTGTTCTCATTCTCAAAAGTTTTTCCTTTTAAAAAATTCTGCAAACTGCAAAAAAGATGATAATCACTGGGAACAATATCTGGCGAATCGAATATGGTGAATGAGGTAAAATTTCCCAGTTGAAGCTTTTGAGTTTCTCTACAGTTATTTTTGCAGCATGTGGTCTGGCATTGTCATGTTGCAAGAGAACCTGCTTTCTGTTCACTAATGATGTTCGATTTTTTTTCAATTTTTCATTTAAACGCTCTAATTGATCACAATACATTTGAGCTATAATTGTTTGATTAGGTTCTAACAGCTCAAAGTACACACTTGAGTAAAACACTTGACATATCCCACCAAACAGACAAAAGAATTTTTTTTGGATGCAACCCATCTTTCTCAGCCGGTTTTGGCTGCTTGTCGCGATCTGTCCATTGTCTTTTTCTCGTCACATTATTATAGAGGATCCATTTTTCGTCTCCAGTAACCAGCCGATCAAGAAAAAGTTCTAAGGTAATGCAGGATAAAAAAGATGTGCAAATGTTTACACGTTGTTGTTGGTTAGCTATTGACAGTTCATGTGGTATTTATTTTCCTAGCTTTGAAACTTTTCCGATTTGTTGTAGATGTCTATGAACAGTTCCATGGAATGAATTTAAACGTTCTGCAATTTCATCAACTGTTAAAGATGGTTCTGCTTCAACTAGTGCAGAGAGAGCATCATCATCAAAGTCAACGGGTCATCCAGTACGAGCCTTATCCTCCACACTAAAATCATTATTTCTAAATCTTTCAAACCACTTCTGCGCAGTCCTAACACTAATTACAGTTTGATTATGAACAGTATTTAATTTTTTGGCTGCATTTGTAGCATTCTCACCACTTAAAAATAAAAAGTATAAAACATGTCTCTTATATTCATCTGTTACTTCCAATTTAATGAAAATAAACAACTGAAATGTTCCCAATTCTGAACAGTATTATATGAATGAGATCCAATTTAACACTTCAGTGTAAAAAGTATCACATTAGACTGATAATTTTAACAGCAAAACACGATTTTTCTCAAGGTCATAAAATAGGCATGAACTTATGGACAGACCTGATACATGAAAAATTTTCAATAGTCAATATTTTAGTTTTCTGACAAAATTAATAGCAATGGTATAACAATAACAAAAACAAACTGCTAACTTTGAATCTATCAAAAATATATTTGAATCAATGAGTAAAGAAGTAGTAATGGTCTTTAAGCTGATAAGCCACAACATTTATAGAGGCTCCAAGTTGATATACTGGAATGTGCATAGACACACAAAACATTTGTGAGGAGGATATGCTGATGCCACAAATTTTGCAACTATCAACATTTTAATGAATGCTTCCTTTGGTTGGCCAGCAGTAAAAAATGAAAGATAAATGAAATGTTAAAAAAGAGCTTATTCAAAATTCTAAAAAAATATTAAATATTTCCGTGACACACTTGTATGTCACCACACACAGATTGGAAAACACTGCTATAGACAAATAACAGAGCAATTTTTAATTTGTGTAATAAAATAAATAATTATCATTATAATTAATGAGAAAGCTTCACAGTCACCATGCTTCATTCTTTATGCTAATTTTAAAAATGAGATGTAGCATCCATTTTAAAAAGTCATGATCATTTTGTAATAGAAATGAATTCAAAAACTAAATATTTGTAATGAAAACTGTGTTCACAATAAAAATTTAAATCAAGAAATGAGAGGGGCAATTTCTCCAACACCACCTCTCAAATTCATGCCTAAATGAAGATTTACACATTTTAAAGTTTTTATACTATATTTAGTATATGTATTTATCCTAAAATATGTAGTACAAATTAATTTTACAAATTTGTAATGTTTTTACAAAATAATCTACAAATTCTTGTTGTATTGACTGGAACATTTAGAAGGGAAAAAATGAAAATTGGCTTGAATTAGTGAAATTGCACTATATATAATAAAATTTTAAAGTATCTAAACACTACAATTAAATGTTAATTATATATATAGTTAAAAATTTTAATTATGTAATTACAGTAGAATCTCATTTTAATGGATTGTTAAGGTCATCAAAAATCACGTTGTTTCTAGAATCTGTTATATCACAAACAACAGATTTCTTGCACGCGCAGGAAAATATCTGTTATTTGAAAAAATTTATATTTTTTAACTCCCTACATATAAGAAATACTTGTACTTGTAAATTATTCAGTCTCTTGAGATGTCTATTCTTCATTCTACAGAAACTTTTATGTTACAAGATTAAATATTATTCCTGATATGTGTACAACAAAGCTGACACTGTATATACTGTAAGCACAAAAAAGGGAAATTACACATGCTCATTAGCACTTCACTTTGATTTCAAGATTTGTTAAAACACTTATCCATCTTGGTTTATGTTACTGCTTTTCTGCCTATTGAATACAACAACTGCTCAATATTAACAATGTCAAGTATGTTCTGTTTGTTTATGCTGAAACTCATCAGAAAAGTCTTCACAACTTAGAAAGACTCGATGGCCTTCTAAGTTTTGGCACTACATTTGTACCAATGTCAAAACATTCACTAGGTGGCTTCTCAATTGTTTTGACCTTGCTGACTCTCTGTACAATCCTTGAATTGTTCATAGCCCAGACATAATAAGTACATCACTGAACTCTACAAGTTTCCAGAAACACCCAAATATTAAGTAAATGTTGAAAAAAATGCAAAGTTTACAATAGATGGGGCTAAAAAATCTATTATTTTGAGTTACAGATTCCCTAAAAGGAGGCAAAATGAGATTGCTTTAGTAGGACCTGGAAAAAAATCCATTATTCTGTGATCCGTTAAAACAAGATTTTACTATAGATGCATGTAACTATATACATACTAGTTTAATATAAAATCGAGAATAAAGATTACGAAATAAATTACTTGCAATTCCTGAAGAAACTGTTGAACAACTGGAAGAGCTTCATGTGGGCAAGTTACAGTCATTGCAGCAACACATTTTGCAATAGAATGATATGCTTGTTTATGAATATTATGAGATGGTGATGGATGATTTTCAACATGATGATAAATTGGCGATATTAATTTCTATAAAGAACAATTATAATTACTAATAAATTTAAAATAATTATATTATTATTATAAAAACNAATCCGACGAGAGCGCACTACATGACCTCACTCATAGGCCGATTGCCAACAACTGACGCTTCCTGCAGGTGGGAAAAAATTCAGGGCTGTGCATGACTGTCCCCTCCACAACTCCACCAAAGGAGGCCTCTCGCGCATCCTTGGTTTACGCGGAAAAAAAGGTCCGATACTTTTTGAACAGACCTTGTATGCTAATTATTGATATTATAATAATTTTTATTTATTATTATTATTTTTTATACCAAATTAACTTACATGCATGAAATTGCTCGTTCTTTTACTTCTTGATCAATATCAGCAGCTTTTAATCTGACTAAAGTACACTGATATATTTCATTCACAAATGGAGTGAAATCAAATGATGTTGGATGATCTGGAAAAAAGTAGAAAAATATGTGTAAATTGATTTTTAAAAAATGATTATAGTCCAAAATATGTAAAAATTTTAACCTCCCCAAACATACTTGTATATCATAATTTTGTATAGTACAGAATTTTCTCATATTCAATTTCAATATTAAAAAATTCAATATTCAGTTGTTATATATTGATAGTGAATTAATCTAACTTCTGACCAATCATTATCACATTTGGTGTTAAAGTTCATTTAACTTAACACCAAATATTCAGACTAAACATAATAAAAACTGAGTCAAGACCAAGTAACAATGTACATTAATGAGTTTACTATTACAAATATGTACAACATAAAATTATTATAAAAATATTTCTTTCAATTTTTTTTTAAGATTTGTTGACAAACCAAAGTCTATTTCTCAGTATTATCATGTTAAATGTTACTTAATCTTATATGAAATTCATACCTGTAATAGTTCTCTGTATCCAAGACCAGGTAGATATGACATCACCAATGCTTGGAAGAATTCTAACATTGCATTTAAAGCAGCACCTGTTATACATTAGTATTAATTATTAAAAACTTTCAATAAAATTTTTAACTGTTATAAAATTAAAGTAAAAAAAATAACATTCTCTGAATTAAGAAGGAAAAAAAAACATTAGATTAAAAACAAATCTTAGTAAACATACCAAAATTAATAATTTCAAAATTCTATAAACTGATCTAAATTCCAGAACTGAAATTTGATGATCAATCAAAACAAAACATACACTAAAATTTTCTATTTAGTTCATTTATAATATACAGGGTGTCCACAAAGTCTGGGTATATAAGGATTAACACATACTTTTAAAACAAAATAATTTTATTTGATTCTAATATTAATAAATAACATTTTCAATATGATTTCCATCATTTTCAATACATAATTTGATGCGCCAAATTTGTGGACACCATTACCAGTCAGTGTGCTGAAATTAACGGCAATACAGACCTATTTAATCGAGTTCACCCTGAATTTTGCAAGGCACATCAAATTATGTATTGAAAATGATGGAAATCATATTGAAAATGTTATTTATTAATATTAGAATCAAATAAAATTATTTTGTTTTAAAAGTATGTATTAATCCTTATGTACCCAGATTTTGTGGACACCCTGTAGATAATATTACCAATTATAAACATATAAGATAAATATATTAGTTATGTACTAATTTCTTGCATAAATTTACAAAATTACAAAAGTTAAGGCCTGTTCATACTTCATGAGAAAGGAAAAACGAAGGAAAAATGGCATCAAATAGGTGCACAACACTTTGCACATTACTAGTGACATACTTCCATTCTCTTTTGATTAGCAAGGAAAGTTGACAAAAATTCTACTTTTTCTCTCTGTTGGTAGCTCACAATTCTTTGTGTTCTTCAACATAAAGACTAATACAATTGAAATGATAAGAATTAGCACAGGATTATCTTTGATAAATTGCAATTTATCATTTATGTATTTTAAGTTAATCAAATCCAAATAGATATCTTTATATGTATATTTAAAACTTAAAATATCAAAAATGTACTTCATAATCATCTTCCTTAATTTATTTTATAAGGTTATATTATTCTCTGACATCTTTTCTTTGAATTAATTAACCACAAATACTCTCATTTTTTAAGAATTTTATAACATGGGAATATTCAAAGTTCAGGTACTTTCAAAACTTTATTTTAAACTATAAGTATTGAAAGCACATACACATTTTCATTATTTTGAAGTATAAACACTTATGAAAAAATAATAATAGAAAAGAGAAGAGAATGTATCACTTCACTTTTATATTAGTCTCTTTCTTCATGAAGTATGAACTGGCTTTTAGTGAAACATATACAATAAGAAATCTAATAAGATTACTACTTGTTATATTCTCTACTTTCTGTACATAGTAAAAACTATCAACTATTAAATAAGTAAAATTAAAATAAATATCATATTTGCATAATTTATTTATTTCTGTATTTCAATCTTTTACTTTATGATCATCATCTGTAATATGTAATTCAAAAATCACAAAAATCTATATATTTTGTTATAAATGCAAATATAATATACTGATTTTTTCCAAATATATACAAAAACATTCATCTATATAAAATCTATTCAAATTAAATTAGACTAAAGTAGATGTATTAATGCTACCTTGCAATAATGGAGATTTCACAAGTACTAAAACTTCTGGAAGAATTGCATCAGTAACATTTAGAAGTGCTTCTTGTTGAACTTTAGATATAGATGTAAGTAAACTCAATGTTAACTAAAATATAAATCAATAAAATAAGAATTTTATTATAAAATGATAAAAATCAAGTATTTGAAAATAAACTAAACATGTAATCTATGTTTAAAGTAAGAACTGCAATATACAACAAAGCCTATCTAAATTAGAACACAATAATACAAATCAGAGTTTTTCGTTTTAGCAGGCATCCATTTTATAATTGATTATGTTTTCATTAATGCAGAAAAAAGAAAGCTGATAAAACACTACAAGTGTTGTTTAGAATGGCTTCAATGTAAGTGTCATATGTTTCAAAAATATGTTGAAATACCAATATATATATATATATATATGACATATAGAAGAAAAGCTGTATGTAAAAATAGTCTCAAGAATTAGAATATTCAATTTTTATTTAAAAATTAACTCATGCTAATTTTTAAATAAAAAATGGATGTTCTAAATTCTAAGTAAAAACTATGTACAGTATAAGAATAATTGCTCTTAGAACTTAATAGTTTTTACTCTTCATATCATATTATATTCCTTAATTTTGGCTAGTTCTATGAATTTGCTAGAAGCTGTGGTTTCTAGTGTTTCATCCTACAATAATTTACCATGCTCTTTTAATAATTTAAAAAAAATGAGAATACATTAAATTAATTCAATTTTTAGTAACTACTGTTTAAATTCTTAGTACATGTGACATTCCTCCAAAACACTGTATTTTTTTAAACATTTGTTACTTTGGGAAAACAAGTCTTATTACTGAGAAGTCCACTATAACTGCAAGTTTTAGCATTAATTATGATTTAAAATTTAGCTGCTGTTACTATGATTAAATTGTTTCATTCAGATTAAATTATGCAATTAGTATCTAAAAAGTCTTCCATTTCCATATTAGACAGATTTCTGGTTTACATTATTATTTTGCATAGCAAAATAATTTATTCTGGGATTATTTTCCATTTGGACAGGTTTCTGCTTTATAGAGGATCCATTTTAGATAGATTTTGCTGTATTAATATTTAACTTTAATTTTTATTATTGATATATAAATATTAAATTACTCAAGCAACAATTTTTATATTAAAAAATATCTTATGTAAAATTTGATTCTTAAATAATGTTGATAAATTGATATATATCCTCCATAGTTCCTCAATTAAACTCTGTGGAATAAAGATGATGATAAAAAAATAAACCACATGTTGAAAAGCTTAGGAAACATGTTGAAGTACTGGGCAGAAATTTCTATTCCAAGATTCGTACAAATGTTTTTGAAAATCAAATTAAAAATATTATCAAATATTGAACACAGGAAAGTTGCAAATGTCAATAAGATGAGAGTTTATCAGCTAAACGGTAATTAGAAAAATGATCTCCAATTTGAGATCGTAAAGTTTGAACTAGAAGACAATAGTCAAAATCTTGATTCAGACAACATGAAAACAGATATGAATGACAACATAACAAACAAATCAGAAAATGCTGAATCAGCTTAACTAAGAAAACAGTAGTTATTTAAAATGTTGTATCTGACCCCTTAATTAAATACAGTCAATAAATGGTTTTGATAATTCTGAAATGTATAATTAAGTTATTCCTTTCAATTGTTATCCACTCATTTCCTGTTGCAAGGTAATAAATCCTGGGATATGTTGTTTTAAAAATAAACCTCCAAGGTTTAATTGAGGAAATAAGGCAGTTTCATTATATGTACAAGAGAAAAAAAATGCAATAAATTACAATTATATATTTAAATATAAGACAAAGCAACCTATGATCATATAATCTAATTTTATTACACTTGAGAAATATAAGATCATAAAACAGAATAATAATTTTTGACTTCATATTATTAAATGCAGGACAACTTTTTAAATAAAATCTGTTCTTACTAATTGTCAAGATATTGGTTTATACATATTTAATGGTAACATATTAAACAAATCATTCACACAGTTAATATGCTTGAATTAGTAAATTAAACAATAGTACAAATTAAGATAGAAAAATTCATTTCCGGCATTATATTAGTCTATGGCAGGAGTGGCAAACTATGGCACGTGCGCCCAAAGTGGCATGTGATGTATCATACAATTTTGATTTATCATTTGTCTTCAATTATCCTTTAGATTTATACAATCATTCTTTTTTTCAATCAGCTTTTTTACATTTATTCTAATTAAAGCACAACCATTTAGTTTATTTAAATATCGTTATTCAAAGTCTAAAATTTTAGCATGCATAAACATCTTTAAAGCAAGGCATGCTTACTATATGGTATGCAGGTTCAAAGGCTGGTCTATGGCAATGGCAAGTAAAAGGTAGAAGAAATATGCAGATAAATCAAAACAAGACTAAATTATATTTTAAATTGTCTAAAATGAAAAAACAACAACAGATGGTTCAAACAATCAAAGTTTGAAAAACCTATATATAAAACTTTTAGTAATACCTTTGTTAATTCATGATATTTAATATCATTGTTATTTTTTAAATATTTTATAATATAAGATTAGTTAATTCAGAGTTTAAATTTACCTGTGAAATATGTAAATCACTTTCACAAATTAATGGAGGTAATTCTGTCATAACTGCTGAAATCATATCTTTAGTCAATGAACTACTATAATTTTTTACAAGTGTATCTAGTAACGTAAGTGTACTAAGTTTCAGTGCTCTTTGGTTTTTGCGAAGGAAAGATGCTAAAACTGGCATAGATTCCGAAAGGATTGGTCCCAAATCAATAATTAAGGGAGATCCAGCAATTTTTGTTAAAGCTTTCACTGTAGTTAATCTTGTAATTTCATTCTTTAATCTATCTAAAAAGATAGGTAGGCATGTTTGTAGTTCAGGTTGCAAGACATCTCCAAGATTGCATATTATTTGACCCCTATAAATAAAAACATTTCATAAAAACATATTGCAAATTAAAGTATATCATTAAATATTTCTCACAGTACTTAATTTGTTTTCATAAAATTGTTTATAATAGTTAAAACTCAAAAATTTATTTTCAAAGAAACTAATCAATATTTTTCTATTCGCTTTTTAAATTTTTTTATTACTACTTAATCTACTTGACTAAACAGTTATAAACTGTTTTAAAAATCTATAGATGATACTTAAAACATTTCAATGACATACCATTTTATTCTATAGTTGTCCAATATTGAATTTTCATAAGTGACAGAATATATAGTAAAAGTATAGTTCAACTTATATAAATATTCCATAAATATATAAAATACATTTGTAGAATCTTACTTATTTCAATCAAAGTTTCAGTTATAATTATCTCAAGATAAATAATCCTTTTTTTAAGCTGTCTTTTCATGCTATCATCCTCAGAGATTTAAATATAATACTTCATAACAGCATTATAAATATGAGCATTTTATTAATGAAATGCAGGAAAGAAGAAAAAAAATCAGACAAATAATGTGAATGAATTACTATTAATTAATAAACCTTAAATGTATACTTTTTAATTGACATTAAAATGACAGGTCAAAACAGTAAAAAAAAAATCAGAATTTCCATTAATGTAGTCTTATTTATATACCCTAATTAATATTATCAGTATAAGTAATCACAATAAGCAGATTATATTGTATTTAATTTTTCTGCTAATATACTAGATGTCTCTTTCCATTAGACTAAGTTTTTGTACTTATTCGTATGAAATATTTCACGTAAATAAGCAACTTGATAAAGTCAACATAACATATATAAAATTTATTAACTTTGACTTTTTCTTTGTAAGTGAATATTAAAATCTCTCATAGTTTACATTTTAATTATTGGCAAATTTATTCTGAGTTAAACTTTTCTAAATATTTTTTGCTTTGCTTTGATAGTGGTTTAATTAAAAAAATATTAACTTTACAAGGAAATCATATAAAGATTCTAACTGAATAACATTTGAATATGAGTTAATGGTACACACAATCTCTTGCATTCCAATGGAGGTAGAAATATACTATTTTACATGATAAAAGTACTATATCTAAAGAGTTTATTCATGCAAGAAAAAAAACAAAATTAGTTTTTTTTTATCCCATTATCAAAGAACATAAGTGACATGTTTTTCTTTATACAGAAAATGTTTCAAATAAATAAATATTTATCTTAGATTTGAAAAATTTTAACTGCATACATTATTCCTAATATAGATAAACAATAGTGAAAAGTTCATATTACGTCACTATCCTGTAATCCTCATTTAAAATCTGTTCAGAAATTATTTTACAATACTGTTTTCAAAATGAGAACAAACACACATTCTACTGCTAAAAAATTAAATTTTAACTGTATTGAAGAAATAAAACAACAAAAATTACTTTATAATTGGCAACTGTTTATAAACAAAATAATAAAGAAAATATTTCAAATTAAATTGTGATTAATCATTTTTTTAAATAATTAAATATTTAAAATAGTGTCTCTATATAATGAATTTTCATGTAGATTCAGTATTAAATCTTTAATTTATTATTAAATTTATAATCAAAGTTAGAAATATACACAGCAGAATCTGCCTACTGAAATCACTTTGGAACTTGATGATGATAACCAAATGATAATATTAAGCAAGTTACAATTAGTGAAATTTCTAGTTTAATTGAATGACATTAAAAAGACAATTAAAAATGAATTAACTTAAACATTTTTTAATTATAATCATCAATTAGTAGTAATTCATTCAGTGTTGTCTACTTCGTTGGTTTCTTGCAATATCATCTTTAACAGTTAGCTTATAAATAAAGTAAAAAATACCAGCAATTTAATGTGTAAAATAATGATTAAAACAATTACCTAAAAATCCAGCAAGTTATGATTTGAAGATTAAAACAATGTTTAACATTTAAAGTAGCGGATAAGAATGATAACATTATAAAGCATAAGTTGTGATTGACAACATAAATTAATTGAACAGCTTCAGTCAAATTTTTAAGATACTGATGATGATAACAACTACAACTGAAACTCAATTTCAACAAGTGACGTTTCATAAGTATACAGTGGGTGATCGGTTAATGAACATAATCCGTTCCAAGACTTTGTTCGCTATCCAAACTGTTCGTTAACTGATTATCAATTTACCATAGGTTGTATGGGAATTTGATTAATTCGTTCTGGAGACCCCAAAAAATAAAAAATATATACTTTCTTACTACATTCATTTATATGTAATAATAAAAATAAATATATATGCAATCTTGCATTTTTATTAGTTATGTTTTTTTGTTTGTGGGAGTTAAAGAATCTGTCTAATGTCGATTGCTTTTCTCTCTTCTTCAGGATTTTTAAGAAGAAATTAATATCATTGTAATTGTAGAGATTCCCCAAGCCTATAAACCTCAACTTGGTTTGGATGCCATTCTAAGACCATTGTTCTGACATTTTTCCACTTCTTCAAAAGATCTTTAATAGATATCAACATTAATCCTCTTTTTCAGAATAAAACATATCTCACTGAGTTTCTTGGTGTTCTTTGTTCAAAGAGTTCTTGGCATTCTTATGTCATCAGGTTCCATTATGAGCTCTTCAATGTTCTTTATTTCTCAGATGTGATTTTTGTTACTCCTTCAGCTGCTTGAGTCTTCTTGATTATATAGTATCATTCTTAGATAAGATTGAANAACTGAATAACATTTGAATATGAGTTAATGGTACACACAATCTCTTGCATTCCAATGGAGGTAGAAATATACTATTTTACATGATAAAAGTACTATATCTAAAGAGTTTATTCATGCAAGAAAAAAAACAAAATTAGTTTTTTTTTATCCCATTATCAAAGAACATAAGTGACATGTTTTTCTTTATACAGAAAATGTTTCAAATAAATAAATATTTATCTTAGATTTGAAAAATTTTAACTGCATACATTATTCCTAATATAGATAAACAATAGTGAAAAGTTCATATTACGTCACTATCCTGTAATCCTCATTTAAAATCTGTTCAGAAATTATTTTACAATACTGTTTTCAAAATGAGAACAAACACACATTCTACTGCTAAAAAATTAAATTTTAACTGTATTGAAGAAATAAAACAACAAAAATTACTTTATAATTGGCAACTGTTTATAAACAAAATAATAAAGAAAATATTTCAAATTAAATTGTGATTAATCATTTTTTTAAATAATTAAATATTTAAAATAGTGTCTCTATATAATGAATTTTCATGTAGATTCAGTATTAAATCTTTAATTTATTATTAAATTTATAATCAAAGTTAGAAATATACACAGCAGAATCTGCCTACTGAAATCACTTTGGAACTTGATGATGATAACCAAATGATAATATTAAGCAAGTTACAATTAGTGAAATTTCTAGTTTAATTGAATGACATTAAAAAGACAATTAAAAATGAATTAACTTAAACATTTTTTAATTATAATCATCAATTAGTAGTAATTCATTCAGTGTTGTCTACTTCGTTGGTTTCTTGCAATATCATCTTTAACAGTTAGCTTATAAATAAAGTAAAAAATACCAGCAATTTAATGTGTAAAATAATGATTAAAACAATTACCTAAAAATCCAGCAAGTTATGATTTGAAGATTAAAACAATGTTTAACATTTAAAGTAGCGGATAAGAATGATAACATTATAAAGCATAAGTTGTGATTGACAACATAAATTAATTGAACAGCTTCAGTCAAATTTTTAAGATACTGATGATGATAACAACTACAACTGAAACTCAATTTCAACAAGTGACGTTTCATAAGTATACAGTGGGTGATTGGTTAATGAACATAATCCGTTCCAAGACTTTGTTCGCTATCCAAACTGTTCGTTAACTGATTATCAATTTACCATAGGTTGTATGGGAATTTGATTAATTCGTTCTGGAGACCCCAAAAAATAAAAAATATATACTTTCTTACTACATTCATTTATATGTAATAATAAAAATAAATATATATGCAATCTTGCATTTTTATTAGTTATGTTTTTTTGTTTGTGGGAGTTAAAGAATCTGTCTAATGTCGATTGCTTTTCTCTCTTCTTCAGGATTTTTAAGAAGAAATTAATATCATTGTAATTGTAGAGATTCCCCAAGCCTATAAACCTCAACTTGGTTTGGATGCCATTCTAAGACCATTGTTCTGACATTTTTCCACTTCTTCAAAAGATCTTTAATAGATATCAACATTAATCCTCTTTTTCAGAATAAAACATATCTCACTGAGTTTCTTGGTGTTCTTTGTTCAAAGAGTTCTTGGCATTCTTATGTCATCAGGTTCCATTATGAGCTCTTCAATGTTCTTTATTTCTCAGATGTGATTTTTGTTACTCCTTCAGCTGCTTGAGTCTTCTTGATTATACAGTATCTTTCTTAGATAAGATTTAACTGCAGCCTACTGTAGATTTGTTCAAGCAATACTGCCCAGCAACATCAGACATCTTCTGTCCACTCTCTACCTTTGCTATTATACACTCACCTTTCAAAAATAAAAACTGACGCAAAACTTAACAAGTGCCCACCTGATAGTCTTGTGAATACTATAAAAAATTGTTTCTGTCAGAAAAATAAAAGGCTGGAATTACAAGGGAGAGTTTCAAAGTTCAGAGGAATAATATCTGATCAGTATATTCCGGGTTGAGCATCATGTCGAAGTCGCCAGCGCTCTGAAAAGTTTTGAATCGTTGCCTGAAGACGAGGGAAGACCAATCAATATTTGCTATTTTTGTTGCTTCTTTTTATGTTTGTTCAGTGAAGTGTTCATTGTCCGATCATAAAAATCTTTCACGAAAGTGTTCATTATCCGATTTATTCGTTAACCGATCACCCACTGTATTTGAAATTTTTTTTATTGACAAAATATGATCATCAATTACCTTATAGAAAATTAACACTAGATTTTAGTCTGAAGAGAAACTAAATTTAGGTTCCATGTGTATAGTACTGTGAAGCCAATTAATATCAGAAGTTATTTTAAAAGAACTATATATTAAACCATATTGGTACGATTTAATATCTATCTTACTCTATTATAACACTAATAGTTATTATACCAATATCCAATACTTTGTATTTCATTAATTTGAGAGAATATTTAAGTACAGTAGAACCTCAAAAACTCAGCCTAATGTGGACTGAAGGGTGGCCGAGTTTGTGAAAATGTCGGGTTATCGGGAATGGGGTTAAAAAAAATAAGTACGAGTGTTTCCCAGAAAATACTGTACTGTATTTGTATGTATTGTTTACTTGAGAATATAACAGAGAATAAACTGCCCAAATACCCTTAAACAAAGGAAAAGTACGTCCTTTATGAAGGCATAGAGCCTTTACTACATGAAAATGAAAATTAATGAATACACTGTGTACAGTAATTTACCTGATAAGACAGACCTCAGAAAAATACTTT